ACCGAAGGGAAGCAGCAGGGGCTTCTTGTAGCGAGGTGACGGTCGAAAAGATTGGCTGGAAACGTTAGTAATCTGCGCTCGTTGATTAGTAAAAAGTGCCATGAAAAGTGCATGAGCAAATAGAGCTGTTTGAAGAACGGTTGGCTCAACGGGATGATAATAGTGGCTAGATCACGAAGTGTAAGCACAATAGTACTTTACTTGTGTATCAATGGGATCTGAAGGGAATATTCGAACGGCTGGTAGAATCTAGGCAACTAGGGTGAAGTTGCGCTCAATTGGTGAGCCAATAGACCCTAGATTGTTAAGTAAAGGGATTTCATTTGAGTGCATTGATCTGAACGGTAAAAGGGGATAGAGCCAACTGATTTGTGTAATGTCTTGTGATCCGTTTGAGGGACAGAATATTCCAAGGAATCTTCCTGGAATATTCCTTGATGAGGTACAGCCCCTTGGGCTATAAAAAAGGGAGCGGCGCCCCTATTGTCGCTAGCCGAACTGACCAGTTGGTGGTCCCAAGGGACCAACCGGAACATTCATTGTAATAATCGATTAATTGGACAAAGATTGAGCACAGGACACAACCCGTGGAGGGTTGTTTGGTGTGTTTGTGTGCTGAGTGTGTGTAAGCGAATTGTGAGTAACGAAAAGCTCCATTACGTGAGTGCTCTATTGCACTTGTGACGTGTCCTATTGGGAACGCCTGCGGGGCCCCAAGCGCGTCTAGAGTGTTACTATTTTTAGTGTGTCCTATTGGGAACGCCTGCAGGGCCCCAAGCGCACTTTAATAGTAATTGCACATATCGTAATAGACTGGGAAGCCTACGGGGCCCCAGAAAAATATCCTCGGAAAAATCTGGGGTGCTGAGCTATAGTTATCTTACAGTACAAATCACGCATTACTAAAGTATACAATACGGCTGAGCGTTTACAGCCTTGAGCTGTGCTCCCAAGACAACTGCTGTATTTTGGTGGTGACTAAAGTTGATTAGGAGTGAAAGTGTGTTGAGCTACAAACTAATCTACGTTCGACCGAACCTAAAGGGGTTGGAAGTGGAAAGACAGGAAGGTAAGTAGTTAAGGAAAGGAAAAGTTGAATAGATTCCGGGCGTAATCAAGGCCAATTCGCAACTAACAAACTTTTTAGTACTTTAAGTACTGCCTCAGTGAGGTCCAGTACTGAAAGGAGGCAAAGGCTGGTGAAAACGTGAGTTCATTACAGAATTGAAGAACATACAAATGCCCCACTCATTGTCATTTGGATCCTGACCAATGAAAGACCAAAAGGCATGAGTTGAGTTGAAAAAGATGTTGTCGAATCCAGTAGTACTCCCCTTGTACTAACGCCCGCCCCTAAGCACAGTGTCGTAGTGTGTCCTCCTGCTCCTGTAAAGGTTGACCTGCACAGCGACACTCAGGAGGCTCAGAGGCAATCCTTGACAAAAGGTCAAGCTCATCAGCTGCGGAAAAGCTGGAACGAGCTGTCAGGAAAAGTATTTGAAAACTAACGCACAGGCCGCCATAAGGCTTTTTCACTAGACCAAAGAAAAACTAGATGTAAAGGTGTATGCTGATGATGTACTATTGTCTTTAGGCAGTGTACATAGTCCAGGCATCAGCCCAAAAGATTGGCTGGGCATATTCAGTAACACCAACTAGTTGTTGAAATTCTGGAAGGCTGCGGGTGGTCTGTTCCTGACGCTGCTTAGTGTAAACCTATTCGCTTGCAGTCACATCCTCACCACACGTCTTGTCAGATTACTCCTGAAGGTGTTCAGTCAGTATTGGTGTGATCTGCTGTCGTTTATGCGGGGTGAAGGGTTGCAGCTGGCTGGCATAGCCAAGGAGATTGCCCGCATTAAGGGACAACTCAGTTTTCTGTGGAATTCTAAGCGCATACGGCGTAGTCAGATCAGGTAGGAAAGGAACACTGTACCCGTCACGTCACAGTCTATGACGGGTGTAATTGCTGGTCCAGTTACCAGCCCAATCCATTTTCAGCTGGCTTGTGTATTTGCAGCTGGAATTGTAACAGGTTGTTGTGTGTCTTTAGGATCCCTTTGTTTGGGGATCTGGGTTGGACACATTCTCTAGAGTGTATACACGTGGCCATGACTCATCAGCCTTAACAGGCAGTCACACGTAATGGCCATACAACATTTGATTTGTGGCAGGATATTACACATCAAATATGTGTTCAAGACTTGCTTTCAACGGGCTTCATTGCTTTTACTCAAATTCATCTAATAGGGACATGACATCGATGTCAATCGCATCATATCCATGATCAAGCAATCAATTCCTCCATATGCATAGCAAAAGCAGTGGTATCTCAACCAAAGGTGATCTCCTGTCCTTGGGTCAACCAGACTTGCCAATAGCTTACACGAACACACAAACAAGCACATCGACATCATACTTCAAGACGAATAACTTGCAGTCTACACAATGCATACTACAATTTCTCTCCCAGGAACAAACGTGAATTTCAGCACAAGGCCGGGATGAAACTTCGATCGCTCCCCCATCACCCACCTCTATGGTTCTTTCAAATATTTCAATTTTTGAGCTTACATTCTAAATGAATATGCACTGATGTCAAAAGTGTGGAACTGCCCCAGGCAATGGCAATTTGCCTCCAAACCTCTACCTTGATTGTGTGGATGTTTACAATCAGTGCTTACTACATTCTTTCAATGACCATGAACACTGAAGGCATTCCCAACAAGCTGGCTTTCAGAAATCCTAACTCCATTTGCAAGGAAAATAGTGAACGGGCAAACTCTTAATTTGATGGGCCAATCATTCTAACGTCGTGTCTCTATGGAATTTTTGTGCACGTGCTTCTTGGAAAATTGAAACAACTGAATTTAGATTGTTCATTATGATCTAATTTTCGAGCTGGATTCAGGTCTGACTTCTCTCCATGTGATCACCTATTTGCTCTCTTTAGCTACTAACTGAAATTCACCATACAAAAATGCAACCTATTCTCTATCTTTTGGTGTATTTTTGCAAAGCCTACGATTCAGTTAGCCATCAACGATTATGGGAAATCCTGGATTGCTTTGGGATTCCCCAAGGCTCTATAGACATGTTGAAAGCATTATATTGAGGAGCGTCTTCTTCAAATCATACTTCACAAAGTAACTCACCATCAATCTGTATGGGAAAGGGTTTCATGCAAGGATGCCCTACTAATCTTTTGCTCTACACCTTATTTCTAGGCCCACTCCAACAACTCTTTTGACTATACCTTCAGTCTCCAATGTTCGCTCTGATTCCGATCATCACCTTGATGTTTGTTGGTATATTTCAATAGCAAAAGAGCATGACTATTTAAATATTGGAATTTCTTCTGCAAGTCGAATGGTTTTTCAGTCGCATCTTAATACATTGGGGAGGACACCGCGAGCCCAAGGATTAAATTATCAAAGGCCACATGTTTCTTGCATCACGGATCCCCAAGTTGCATGCAACTTATTCAAAACCTATGATTTGGGTTCAGTTGTATATGCCTTTCTTATTTGGCGTCCCTTTCTCATGAAGGCTCAATGGAATCAGTTGGAGAAGGTCCAAACTCAATTCTTGCACCAAGTTCTTTGCCTTCCCGGCCACGCACCACTAGGGATTATTTATGCCAAAATTCGAGTACTTCCTTAAGAATTCTACTTACGGAGACAACTAATGCAATACTGGAATCGAATGGGGGAACTTCCCAACTCTCGGGTTCATGTCGCTATTGTGAAGTCCTGGTTTCAACAATTCTCAGCCAATCGTCGATCGTGGTATGGACGTATCATTGCCTTTTTCCTTTGATTCTGGCCTTATTTCTGTTCAACGGCAGGTACACCAATTGACATACAATCTTTTAAACGGATCTACAAACATGTCCACATTGCTAGTGTCTTCTCCGACCAAACTTCAAGGATTCAGCGATGGTCCAAACACATCAAGCCAATCTACTGGTATGAAAGATTCCTGTCGTCATTATAACCTATCTCCTTGAAGACGCTTTTCCTGCGATTTCATTGTGGAGTGCACTTTCTAGAAGTTGAGCAATAACACCAAGCACGACAATCTATTCCAGAATTCTCAAGGCGATTATGTTCTGTGGGTCACTCGGCTCCAAAGACGAGATCCAATTTCTCTACCACTGCCGGGCCTATGATACGATCCATCGAAGCCACTCTTGTATTTTTCGATGTCACAACGCAAAAACACGTTTTGCTTCGGTTCCTGCTCGGCAACTTGCGAGGACACTTCTTTTCATTTATTATCATCAACAATCGCTTCTAGATATTAGGAGTTGATAGACTCATAGACTTTGTTTGTGTTTAACATTAGATTTCAATGAAACCATCACAGACTCTTCTTTGCTCTGGCAAAATAGGAAGCTGATGGCCACCACAATCCCTTATTCTGTAAAAATGATGATGGTGATGATGATGATGATGATGATGATGATGATGATGAATTCCTTAATAACATAGCGTTCACTAATCCCAACTCCGCTCCCAGCAGCAAAAACATGATGTCAACAGCTTGTGCCACCTTTCGGCGATGTAGGTCAGAAGCAAAATAAATAGATGTCCATGTAGAGAGAGATTCATGTCCAGAGGTGGCTGCTGACTGGGAGCAATGGAGTCATCAGGGTGTGGATGATGATGTTGATGACTGGCTTCTCGCATATCACGCAACTGAATTCAGGTGAATTGCATTTTCAGATTACATTCAGCAGAATTCCAGGAAACAGTGCAATGCTGAATACCTCAGTGCCTCAAAATTACAAGCCTTATGCTTGTGTCCAATACGTGACAGGCTGAAAGACAGAGTCAATTCAGAAAAAGCCAAAGGCGCAAACACATCATCGTTGGTTCCTTGAAAGACCCCCTCTCCAGATATCACGTGCAACTCTTGTTCCAACCTCCCACATCCGCCCCACTGTCTATATGGTGTACAAGTCATGCCCACCCGCTATGCCCAAACGCAGCTGTTCGTTAGCACACACGGCGACGACGGGTGCCATTTCCAGGTTCCTCATCAGCAGCCCGAGCCCTTTTCCGCCTCTCTGGCGACACCTTGCAGCTCTCACTCCCATCCGAATCTTTGCCGTGTTCCACAATAGCTACCCTGGGCCCGGTGCTTGCGGCAGGCTCCTCCTGGGCCAGCAGGGCCTCCGGCAGGTGGTCTCCTGCCACGTGCACCAAAGTGGAGGGCGTGGATGCGTTGACCCTCAGTTCCCGCCACATGCCCAATGCCATGTGTGTCTGCTGTATCCCTCGGGGCTTGTCTATGGGGGGGGCTGCTTCCTCCTTGTCATTGTCCTCTTCGCTTGAGCCAGAGTCCCCAGTGGGGGAACCATCACTGATGAGGTTGTCAACAATGGACCCAACGCGTTTTGCCAGTCGCTGGAGCAGCTCAGTGGAGAAGAAGGGCTGCTGCAGGACAGTCTCGATGCAAGGGGTGTGGAGGGGCAGGCCCGTCTGCTTGTCATGCTTCTTCAGTATCTTTGTCACTGCCACATAGTTGACATGACCCCAGTGCAAGAGCATCACAATCTCACCTGGCCGCCACAAAAGAACATCAGTATGAAGCTGCGATGAAGAATAGCTAGCATCTTCTGCTCCCTATGTTTTACCCATCTTCGAAGCACATTCGCACCCCAGTAGACCTACTCCTCTACAGTGAAAAACACATATCCAGAACATCTACACGTGCATACTGTCATGATCATCGTGCCGCTGCACTTCACTGCCCCAGTGCAGCACAAATGTCAGAAAATCTCACATGTGCTGCATAAACAGGTCCACAAAAAACTGAACAGGTAGAGTGCTGCAGACTGGTGATTGCTTCTCGGTCAACAACACAGCAGGACAGCATTGGTCTGGGCTGCTGGAGCTCACCATGGAAGTCGATGAATGCCTTGGCAAGTTTGCCGATTTCCTCCTCGTTGTTTTCACAATCCTGAGCATCATTCAGTTCGCTCTCCAGGTCTTGCAGGCGCATCACTATCGATTCCTCCTCATCCATGAAAATGCTGTTTAACGTTTCAAGTTCCTGCAAGGAATCGAATGCCACAAAATGAAGCAATCCACCCCAAGTCGGTGATCAACAAGAACTGAAAAGGAATGCAGAAATGCAGAAATCTCAAAAATACCCCAAGTCTTCAAAGGAACTGCAGTGAACAGTTAGTTGGTGACTTGAACAAGCAGCTGACTGGGAGGTATCCACGATGAGGCCTAGAAAGGCAGCTGCCGTTCTTAGGCACCAATCTATCTACAGAAGCTGATCAACCACATGGTACATAAAGGCAACATATCAGAAGTCAAGGGCAGGGCTTTTTCTTTCACTGCAGTACAGAGACTACTTGCAGGTCTTTAGTTGACCCGGGATGCATATACCTCATTGAGAGCTTTGATAAATTTTGTCTCCTGTGCAGACAAAATCCCTGGGCGGCTGCTTGTCACAGATGAAGACTGCTGCAACAATAGCACATGCTGAATCATCAGTAAATAAATGCAATCAACACAAAACTCATGACTAGCCGGAAGTCTTTCTAACTTCCTAGACAAACAAACACAGACACATGTGCAAGAACTTCTGGGCCGAAAATGTAGCAAATTAGGAGGACAGGCCCCATGTGGAGAAGCATAAGCACAAGCAAAGTGGTCACATATGACTCACATTGGGTTCTTCCTCACTCTGGGATGTGCGTGTTGCGTGATCAGATTTGGAAGTTCCAAGGTCCAGAGCAGCCTGACAATTATCGTCACCTGTGGTTCAGAGATAAAACAAGAAGGCATGCATCGTCGCATTCGTCACATTTCATTTTCACGTACAGGGCATCTACAGAAATGCACACCTTGACACTATATGCATCGCCACACAAATCACCACTATCCTGTTCCAAGCTAATCCCATTTGAATCGGAGCATTCCTCCAAGACATGAACGACATTTGGGAGCACTGCATCGCCTTCCATTTTCTTTTTTTTTGATTAGTTGGCACAGGTCCTCTCGCAACTCTTCTGTCAAGATCCCCAACCCCAACCGCAGCAGGGCACAAGAAAGAAAGGGAGGGGGGAGGAGGAGGCAGGAGCTCCTGGACACCTAAAATCAATGCAGTACTTTGGAATCAAAGAAGGGAAAACACCAACTTTTTTGGACCACCCTACACAAGCAATTGTACAATAATGAATGCATGCAAGCACTCTCTCAAGCTGAAAAGTGGTCCATTGTCAAACACTGCACTTACGATTGATTGGAGGTTTAATCAGCTTCAACATCTTCTTCAGCTGCTTGTACCCCAGGAACTGCTTGTCTGGCAGTTCCCTCCCCTGCTGTAGAATTACTTTCCCAAATTTCATGGTGCACTGCACTCAAAAGTTCCTGAACAACGCAGCGACAATTCCGATTAACTAGCACATCCCGATACTCAGATTACTGCAAGTGTCAATGTAGATCTTTCATTTTCGTCAAGCTGTGACAACCCTCGCATTTATGTAAATTATTTTTTTGTGCATCTCAGCATCATCATCTCATCCATCACGTGCAACTCAGCCATGGCGCCCCCTCCATCGCACTGCACATTACAATTGCTACCATCTACATGAAAAGGGTGCCACTCATTGGCAATGCCCATGTCCAAGTGGGGCCGCCAATCCTCTATGTGCAATCAGAGTGCTGTCCACAAATCCTGGTTGACAACCCATTCAAGCATTGAAATTCGTTCCTTTTCAGAAACAGAAGGAAACTGTCACACACTGCCCACCCCACCCCCACCCAGCCACCATCTCAACGCCCAACGCCACACGATGCTCGGGCGCATGAATCTGCGGTCTATACTCATTTCCGCACTGCCTCAGATAGCCTTCTAGTACAGCTGACACAGCACAGCACAGATCCATCTAACTAAAACCGACCTCACGGATCCGTCTTGCGCGCCGAGGTGGGCCATCCCGTCAACCACCTTCCATCCAACCAGCGGGCGCGGCAAAAGGACCACGGTTTTGTATGCATCCGACCAACAACTCATAGCCGCAGAAGATTCGAAGGTACAGAGCAAATACCGAGGGCACAACGACCTCGCGGCGCAAGACATGCCCAAAGATCGCGGCATTCACTCTCCGATTAATGCCCACCGCATTCTCGACGGAAGGTGCTGCAGGAAGATTGCTCACCTTCCCGCTTCCACATCACACCCCAACATCGGCCCACCAGAGCCCGCTGCCGTGTCGCAGCTCCAAAATCGCCAACGCAGCCCGTTCAGCTTCCCGCCACAGCACCCACACCTCATCCCCCGTAAAACGCGGGGCCGCGATGCGCTACAGGAATCTCGGCACCGGAAAATTCGCACAATGTCCGCTTCAACAGAAAACGACCACAGACACGTCCCCGCCACACGTGGCCGCGTCTCTCGCGCCAACCCACCGTCCTCCGGCCTCCCGCGGCGCTCGGCCAAAGTGCCGCTTCGCCTGGCCGCGAGCAGTGGGCCCGGATCTGCGATGCCGGGCACCGCGCCACCGTCCGCCTCAAGATCAGCAGCGATTGTCTGCACCACGGGGGCTGTGCTCCGAGGGGGGCCCTGCCGTCGGAGGCGCTCCGCGCAGGAACCTGCGACGAATAGAAGCCGAGGCACTGTGCCGGCCAGACATATACCAGGCCAAGCAAAAGGGATATTCCAGCGCAGGCAAACGGCGGTGTGAGGTGCACGACAAATGATGCCACGTACGGGCGCACGTGGCCGGGAATGTGACGTTTCAGCGCGGACCTGGGTTGGTGGCACGCAAAGCTGCCGCCCATGCAATCTGGATCAGTTGCAAATCGATGCGGGCGGATCCGCCCACGCGAGGGCGGAGATAATATTACTCCCTGCATCAAATCGGCTTAAATCTCGGGGGGCCTTGCCCACCCGTTTTTTAATGATTCATCACCTTTTCCAGTTTGTCAATCGGGACGGGATGGTGCGCTCATGGCACTTGACCAAACCTCAGCAACCATCAAACACTCAGACACACTCTGTTTCAGGCACCTTTGAGTGCCCTCACACCAGTTTGCCAATTGTCTCTCCTTACATTAAAAATCAAGCCAAATATCTTGGGTCGAGGTGGGTGGGAGCGAAAAACGAGATAGCCACAAGCTCGTTTCGCCAACCTTAAGTCCCAAGTTCCCCGTTTGCCTGGATCACTGTGAACCAGTTTTCCAACGGCGCAAATTGCAACTCAATTCGGTTCCTAGGCTTTATGACCAACCGCGCCTGGTTCGCCCAGGTGCTGCCCATAACTTGACCACAACTTTAAGAGTTGCGCCAAACTCTCACTCACTGAGCCTCTGCATTCCAAGCTTGAGAAACGGCAACGCCATCCATTCTAAATCCAAGTGCACCAAGAACTGAAACCTTTGCTGGCCGTTCAAAGGTTCCCACCCAACGGCCCTGATCCCGATTTAAACCTATTCACTGCATTACATTACGCAAATTTCGCGACTGCTTACACCAAGTCATGTGCACGCTAGGTCCCAGCCCCAACAACCAATATTCGGACAAGATGACCCGGCTTTTTGGCGTTGCTCGCTGGTGCCCGCCTTGGTGAGCAACATGGTGCGGTGGAGGCAGCGTGGGGTGTGGATGGAAGACGCGTAGGCTGGCCGGCGAAAGAGTGTGGAGGCTACGGCAGACCACGTTGCAGGCGCCATGGAGCACTCGGTGAGCTGGGGGCACCGCAGGCAAGGTTTCCAAGGATATGAAGTTTGGAAGGCCATCGGTTTGGGTGCTCGAATGGGTAGGGTGGGACATGCGAGTGTTGACGCGGTCCCCCCTTGGCCGCGTCCAGGTACCCTGGCCCGCACTCTAGGGCCTCTCTGGTGGAAGCGTGGTCGTCCTCGGCCAGACGGTGTGTCCCGAGCTCTCTCCGGCCCGTGGGTGACGGCCGCTCTGTGCGGTCCCATCTGAGGCATGCGGCGGCTGCGCTCGAGGAGGCAGGGAGGCTCCAGAACAATCGATTGCTACAATCGGCGCTGCCGCAAGGCGCTCTTATATGTGGCGGCCAATTTCATCAAAATCATTATATTCATTAAGAACCTCCAGTTTGGCCAAACCCATTTTCCGGCTAAAGGCCTCGCTACGCTCGGCCCTTACACACAAGTCGTTCCGGCCTACTCCGCTTCGCTCCGCATATGGCCTCCACGACTTTGGCGACAGGCCAAGCTCCTGTTAGCACAACAAGAAAACAACGGGTCATTACCACAACGAGACACGCGCGCTGGCCTACGAAAGGGTGTGCAGGCCACGGCACAACACGCTGCAGGCTCCACAGAGCGCTCAGTGAGCTGGGGCCGCTGCAAGTAGAGGTGGGCCCCTGTGTCCATCCACAACAGAATTTGGTTGGCTCTGTTAAAATTCCGTTTAGTCAACAGAATCCGTGAGCCGGCCACAGAGAGAAAAAGTGCCTAACAGAAATGGGCGGGGTTATGCTGACGTCAGCATAAACGGCTACAAAAATCCACACAACCTTCCAGAATGGAACCACGTGTTACAGGATCCGCGCCGTAGCCTACAGATGACAAGGCCCTCGTAACGGAACTGCTGACCGGACCACAGAGGTTGACAGAATTCCATCAACGTTGACGGAGCAACACAGACATTTCAAACACGTTGAACCCCAATATAGAAATTTTATATGCATGGCGGACGTGGGGTGCAATTGCCAGGGTCTTTGTTAGATTTGGCAGTGCACACTGGTCGCCCCCGTGGCACATCCATGTGTGCCTTCAAATCATTGTTGTCCGTCACGCAGGCAGAATGTACGCCCAAAGCGTTCCCAAGCCCAGTACATTCGATTGGTTGGCATGTGATGTGATGCCCCTGGGGTATGTGAAATGTTGCGTCGGGGCCGCCCGCCGCCAATTGCCCCCACGGCATCGGTACCTTCAGGTGAGTAGTGATGGCGGGGTGGGGCAGGGTTTGCTGTTCTGCTTGGCTGGAGTACCGGCCGCGGCTTGGCCAGGAAAAAGCCAGTGTTGCTGGGCTCGTGG